TCAGGGTAAACTGGTGACTAATATTTAAAACACGAATGTGGGGAGTTCTGGGAAGATTCCCTCTCAGCAGAGCCCCACAGCGCGGCCTAGAAATAAACTTCAGGAACTGTGTAACTCTATCCAGTACTGTTCAGCCTCCCTGCTTGCATGTTACCAAGACAAGCTAGAATCTGACTGAAGGCCAGAGAATGACAGTAGCTTCTTTTCAGTGTGTTGAAGGAGAAAAGAAAAGAGGGTATTATCGCCCTTAGGGCATGGATATCCCTCTAGTAACTGGATGTCACCACAAGAGATGGCAATGAGGCAAACTGCATGTTTTGTGTGTTGGTCAGAGTCTGTGGTCTTCTACATAAGAGTCTTCAGATTATTTTCATGGTTCATTTCGAGCGGCCATTGAGACGGGCATGTTTCCTGTCAGCGTACAGTGAAACATTTGGTGCCTATTTCTGAGGAGATATAGAACCCTTGGGGGGGGGGGGTTATAAGTAACATGGCCCTGTTTAGATGGGTAGCCATGTTAGTCTGTCTGGAGCAGTAGAGAAGTGTAAGAGTCCAGTAGCACCTTTAAAGACTAACAAAAAAATTTTTGAGTGGGGAATGAGCTTTCGAAAGTCACTGCTCACTTCTTCAGATACCTGTATCTTTTCTGTGGCCCCGTTTAAGCACTGTGTAAAATTTTGATTCCACTGCCATCTGGTGGTAAAGAGCAATACCTCATAGCGCATGTCTGGATGCATCTACAAATACGGTTTATTTATATATTTATATATATAAACGCCCGAGATCCATTTAGAAGCTTAGCATATTCAAGCCTGAACATTGATTGAGATCAGCATCCTATTTGAATGTTGTATTCTTTATGACTTGTTGTGAAGCACTTCATGAATACAGAGAGCTTTTGTACTAGTCTAATCTCTCCTGAGGAAGATCCATTATTGAAACGTTGTTATATAATCCGGAGACGACATTGATTATGTATCTATGCACAACAATTTTCTTATGATTTATTAATGTACTGCTTTAGATTATAATACATAGGAAGTGTTTTCTTTGCAAGTCTTTGTTGTTGTTGTTGTTCAGTCGCACAGTCGAGTCCGACTCTTCGCGACCCCGTGGACCAGATCCCACCAGGGATTGCAAGTCTTAGTGACTGCTTGATTTGTGGGTCAGACTCTCATGACTGTTGTCTTTATACTTATTTTATGGCTGTCTGCCTGAACGCCCGTCTTGCTGCTTGTCCTTACAGATCGAGTGCCACCCGTATCTCACCCAGGAAAAGCTTGTCAATTTCTGCCAGTCCAAAGGGATTTCCGTCACAGCGTACAGCCCCCTCGGCTCTCCTGACAGGCCATGGTGAGAATATTTGGAGGTTTCGTCTTTTTAACACTTGGCAAAATATACAATGAGGTCGGGACTCCCCAGTTATGATTTGTTCCTCTTTGCCCATCCCGACTGAGTAAGTCAACAGGTGATAAAAACAAGCATAGGGGACGCTTACCTGTGTCTAGCACTGCTGTGTATGTAAAAGTGCATGTTTAAGAAGAGAATAGTAAGTCTAGCGGCGAGTTAGACTCTGGCTCTTCCGGAGAGGACTCTCTATCTGAAAAGGGGGCAGCTGCTCCAAAAAGTCCTTATAAGCTACGGGGAAAAAAGAAGTAAAGGCTGGAGGACTCTGAATGGTGCCTTGGAAGATGATGAAAAGGGATGATCAGGAATATGGTTGAAAGACACAAAATGTCAAAGATTATTTCACTTCCCCACACTGAAATGGAGCTTATCCTTAAAACATTCCAAACACAAAATAGAGGTCTCATCTCGGCCCTTTATAGATTTCTTCTTCAAGACTCAAGCATGAAAACTCTATCATACCAAAATGCATGGAATTTGGATTGTAATAATGCATTAAAAGACGAACATTGGCTCAAAATATGGTCAACTAAAGGTGGCGCCCCAAGATCGTTCCCTGTGGAATTACATAAATTCAAACTTTTATCTCGTTGGTACCTCACTCCGGTTCGCTTATCCCACATGTCAGCTAATCATTCCAAGTTATGCTGGAAAGGCTGTGGTCAAGAAGGTACGTATGCACACTGTCGGTTGCACTGTGTGGAAGTCAAAAAATTCTGGTCCTCAGTTACAAAACTTATCAAACGCATGATAGATGTTGAAGTGCCCCTCAAACTTGAATCTTTACTTCTAGGTCTCTGGCCACAACACATTGATCACCACCGTCACAAAAGTACATTAGAAATTATGCTATACGCTGCAAGGCTTTCGATTGCGTCACACTGGAAGGACCCCAATCCTCCCACGACACAAGTCTGGTTTAGGAAACTATGGGATCAATTCTTAATGGAAAGCATAACGGATAAACAAAATTGCAATGCCAGAAATCCCTCGGCATCTAACTTTACCGCGAAATGGTTCCCAGTATTATCTTTTTTGGAGTCAGAGGAGTTTATTTCTTCCCATTGGAAGAATTATATCAAATGGATTTAATTTTTATTGAGTGCCTTTTTGTCTATTTTGAATGCTTTTATATTACTTACATAAATTTATCGTCAATCACTTTATATTTATGCTCTGTTTAATTTATACACTCATTTGTGACTTGTTAGCTATAGATTACTACTCTTTCCTCCCATATCTCATAAGCCTTGTTTGGAGGTCTTTTACTGTAACCGTTGTTTATCACGTCACCAATGGCCAGTTGTACTAGGTTTCAATATCATACTAAGTTTGGTGATAACAAAGCTATGTTTCAAGTTAAATTGTTTCACAGAAATCTCTATCTCAGGGGTACAGTAGGATAACCCCCATTATGTGTTAGTAAGCATGTTATTCCAATTGTTGTTATTGTTACCTCATTGTTTCACTTAATAAAAACTGTTATTGGAAAAAAATATTATCCCAGATAATTATAAGAAACCAGATGTTTACATGATTATACGTGTTATAACAATGGCTAGGATTTTATTTGTGAAATATTGGAAAAAAGAAGTAGCCCCTTCTAAAGAAGAAATAACCCATAAACAACTGGAAACAGCAGAAATGGACAAACTCACTATACATTTACAAGAAAAAATGAATTTTTTTTAGAAGAACTGGCAGAGATTTTATAAATGATTGGAAGGGTATATTGGAAAAATATCAAAATAAGTATTTGAGACTGCTCGACATATGTAGATAAACCGGTTTAGGTGCATATGATAATGATTCATTTTACAAAAAAAAGAAAGAAGCCAATGTTGGATCATGCCAATGGCCCATCCAGTCCAACAGTCTGTCTCACAGTGGCCAAAAACCCAGGTGCCATCAGGAGGTCCACCAGCGGGGCCAGAACTCTAGAAGCCCTCCCACTGTTGCCCCACAAGCACCAAGAATACAGGGCACCACTGCCCCAGGCACAGTGTTCCATCTATACATTATGAGTAATGCCGATGATGGACCTCTGCTCCATATGTTTATCCACTCCCTTCTTGAAGCTGTCTGTGCTTGTAGCTGCCACCACTTCCTGCAGCAGTGAATTCCACTCTTTGGGTGAAGAAGTTTGTGTAGTTGCGATGGGGGGGGGGAGTGTTAAATCAGTCTGAGTGATGTGAATTGATGCAAAATAGGATAAGAGTTCTGTACTTTGAATATCTGTATCCCAGAAGGAATATACCAGAGGGAAGGGAAGAAGCTGAGTTCTTATACCTGGCTTTTCTCTACCTTAAGCATACAAGTTGCCTTCCCTTCCTCTACCCCCAGCAGGCACCTTGTGAAGTAGGGAATCTGATCACCATAGTGATTTTATACATTCCTTAATCTTGCTAGGTGTTTAGGAAGCTGAGAACAGGGAATGGGGTGCCACCTTCTGTACTTTGAATATCTGTATCCCAGAAGGAATATACCAGAGGGAAGGGAAGAAGCTGAGTTCTTATACCTGGCTTTTCTCTACCTTAAGCATACAAGTTGCCTTCCCTTCCTCTATCCCCAGCAGGCATCTTGTGAAGTAGGGAATCTGATCACCGTAGTGATTTTATACATTCCTTAATCTTGTTAAGCCTATAGGTGTTTAGAAAGCTGAGAACAGGGAATGGGGTGCTACTATTGATTGGCTGCCAAGGTTGGTTTGTGGCCAACCATAAAACAGCTGTTGTGGGAGCTGGGACCAGTCACAAGACGTTGGGACTTCTCAAACCAAGCGTCATCTTATGCCAGATTGTAGGGTTGCCAGCCTTCAGGTGTGGCCTGGAGATCTCCCAGAATTACAACTGATCTCTGGACTACAGAGATCAGTAACACTGGAGAAAATAGCTGCTTTGGAGGGGGACTCTATGGCATTATACCCCACTGAGATCCCTCATCTCCCCAAACTCTGCCTTCCTCAAGAACCGGTTCCAAGTCTCCAGGAATTTCCCAACCTGGAGGTGGCAACGCTGTGCCAAAGGGAGCTGTTTCCACAAAGGCACTTTCTGAAGATACAGCAGTGACAGGGAACTGCCACTCCAGTGAGGTGGTGGAAAGCCAAGACTGGCTCTCTGATTTAGGGAAGAGATGCTTTCAGGAAGAAGGAAGTGGGCCGGAGGAAATATATCAGCAGGCCCCATGATACCCACAAACACCATGCTGGGGAACACTGTCTTATTCCAATACTTACTTCTGTACCTAATAAATACAAGGCTCCCTTTCTTCCAACCCCTGTCAGGCTTCCTATTTTTAATTAACTGTTGGCTTTTTTTGGCAGGGCCAAGCCAGAGGATCCATCTCTCCTGGATGATCCCAAGATCAAGGAGATTGCGGCTAAGCACAATAAAACTGCAGCTCAGGTGTGTTTCTTTGAAGTGTGTCTGTGGACGCAAGTGAGGGAGACATCCATTTTGTCCTCTGGACATCCTGTATATTTTTCTTGACAGCACTTTTTTTTTAGAAAGCAGGAAGACTAACTCTGTTTTGGTCGCGTTTGGTTATTAGGTCCTGATCCGATTCCATATCCAAAGAAACGTGATCGTGATTCCCAAATCTGTCACCCCGGCTCGAATTGAGGAAAACTTTAAGGTAAGAATGGAAGTAACATCCTCCCGTGACTGGAACAGCTTGGACTCCAGATGTATGTCTGTATTTTGACATCTCAGTGGGATTGTGTTTGTCATCTTGATGAGCAAGGTTAGTTCTTAATTGAGTAGAATAGTAAATATCTTTTCACCTGTGCAGGACTGTTTGTCCACATTCTCCTGAATTGCTTTGCCAGCATGGGAAGGATTTTGTGAAAACACAGAGAGGGGAAAGTTAACAGTCCCTTTTTTTCAAATATTAACACACACACACACATCCCAATCTTTCGAACATACTTTGGAACCTGCACTATGCTTTCAGGGAGCATAAGAGAAAAATGCAGTAAACAAATCGGGAGGGGCCGCGGCTCAGCAGGAGAGCCTCTGCTTGGCATGCAGAAGGTCTCAGGCTCAATCCCCCCTGGCATCTCCAGCACAAACGATCTGGTAGGAGGTGATGTGAAAGGCCTGTCATAAACCATGGAGGGCAGGTGCCGATCTGAGTAGAAAACGCTGACCCTGATGGACCAGTGGTTTGACTTCATGTCACCTTCATGTATATGTTCAGGTTTGCCTCCACAAGTCTTAATGAACCATCATGGAGTACTTGGAATTGATTAGAAATTGTTTTTCCGGCCAGGTGTTTGACTTTGAGTTGTCCAAGCAGGAGATGGAGACCATCCTGAGCTTCAACCGGAACTGGAGAGTGTGTGCCCTGAGCACGTAAGTAGCCGCGCTCGAAAAGCTTTTGGGAGGGGCAACACTTCAGAGGTTACGTTCTGAGCTGACTTAGAATTGGGCTACAGTGTCTGGTCAGTTAATGGGTTAATTGACGAAATACCTTTTTGATCACGAGAAGTTGGATAACATTTTTTAAAAAAAAATGCAGATAGATCAAGATGGGTAGCCATGTCTGTCTGTCCGTAGCAGCAGAAAAGAGCAAGAGTCCAGTAGCACCTTAGAGACGAACAGAATTCGAGGCAGGGTCTGAGCTTTCGTGAGGCACCGCTCCCTTCTTCAGGATGAAACTCTAGCTGTATCTTGTGGTGGCTTTCAGGTTTTGTACTCATTAATAACCCTAACCTGAATAGCCCAGACTAGCCTGATCTTATCAGATCTTGGAAGCTAAGCAGGGTCAGCCCCGGTCAGGTTTTGGAAGGGAGACCACCAAGGAGTACCGGGCCCACTACAGGGACGCACAGGGTGGCAAGCTCCACCTTTGAGCATCTCTTGCCTTGAAAACTCCACGGGGTTGCCGTGTCAGCGGTGACTTGACAGCAAAAAAAGAAACTCATCTTCGGTAAGACCAGAAAGCCGCTACGGAGATTGGTAGTGCATAGTGAGTGGCTATCAGGGCTCTTTTTGGGCAGGAACACACAGGAACGAAGTTCCGGCTGGCTCCCGAGTTGGCCACGCCCAGCAGGAACTCATTAGCATAATAGGCCACACCCAACAGCAGAAACTCATTCGGATTGGCTACATTAGGGGTGTGTGGCCTAACAGTCAAAGGAGTTCCTGCTACAAAAAAAAAGGCCCTGGGTTTTGACAACAAACAAGGTAAACAGAATAAGAAGCAAAAGGTGGGTGTGGCTGGATGTCCACACTTCTGGTAACATGGGGGTGTGGCCTAATGTGCTAATGAGCGGTGCTGTCAGGCTGTGGCCTAATGTGCTAATGGGTTTTGCTGTTGGGTGTGGCCTATTATGCTAATGAGTTCCTGCTGGGCTTTTTCTACAAAAAGCCGAGTGGCTTTATAAAAATGCTAAGGACTTTTATGCTGGGTTCTGAAAGCCCGCCCTATCCTTCATCAGGCCTGCACATCTGGTGACTCACCAGGCTGAATGTAGCTCAGCAGCCAGTGTTTCCCCAGGGTTGTGACACAAGCCCCCGGCCTTTGCCAGGAGAAAAAGGCAACCAAAGCCAGAAGTTCATTGTGCCTCTGACGAACCAACACTCTTGGCCCACAAGCTGCGTTGGGCTTGATTGGTTTGCAGGCCTGCGCTAGTGATATTGCCGAGAAATACCAGAATACTATGTTTGGAGATGCTGCTGATATGCAAACCACTTTCTTTTTCTTTTGCATTAAAAAAAATAGTGAAGTGCTGTATGTGTTTGCTTTTTGTTGTCAGACTCCTGCAGCAATCAGTTCCCAACAGCTTTCATTCAAAGAAGTAAAGTTTATTGAGAATTTGAGAGGATGCAGATATCTTAACCATTCTGTGTTAGAACAGAAAAAAGCACACGCAGCAAACAGTCATGCATCATTCAAGGAAACCCCCGATGGCCCAGGGCCAATCAGGGATCAGGTAGAAGCCTGCCAAAGTAATGGGCTACTTTTCCCAAGAGAAATGCTACACCAGGTACTGAAGGTCATGCAGAGATAATAGAAACATAGAAGACACAACAGAAATGAAACTAAACATTCCAGAGTCACCCCTACTCCCATGGCAACCAGGGCTTGAGAGAGGCCTAGCTGACAGTCTAGCCAAATTAAATACGTTCAGAGGTGATTTGCCATTGCTTGCCTCTGTGTGGTGACCCTGGGCTTCCTGGTCTCCCATCCAAGTTCTAACAAGGGCCGACCCTGCTTGGCTCCCGAGATCGGGCTAGCCCTGTTATCCAAGTCAGGGAAGCATAATATTTTAGCAGACGTAAAGATTTGATTCAAGCTTCTGATTGACTGTCTCTTTCCTTAGGTGTGCCAGTCACAAAGAGTATCCTTTCAAAGCTGAATATTAAAACCCCGTTCTCCTGGAAGCCACAGGGAGAAAGACGTCTACTTTAACCATCTCAGCTTGTTCATCTGTGCTCTTTCATCCGCATCTAGAAAACCTTCACTTTTCCAACGTGGGTTCAAAATATTCTGAGCAACAGAATTTGGGGGTCATGAATCGTGTCGTCCTCCTTGTTAAGCAGAAACATCTTTGCCAGAATTAGCGGCCAGACTATTCTGGAGGTGAACAGTAACTTTCTAAGTTCTCTGTCATCACTTCTTCTGACTATACCTGACAAAGAGGCATCTTTGTCTCTGGCAGGAATCAAAGTTCAGTGTCTTTCCGTTAAAATGACTGGGTCATTTCTACTGCCGTTTTGCTAATGGAAGAGGGAGCATCTTCCCCATTTCTGTTCCTCACTGCAGCCACCCAGCCCAGAAGGTTTTGTGTTCACAAAGATCCTCTGTTCCCAACAGTGTCTTTTCACATGTCACAGGAGGAGGGAGGGGAAAAGATTCATATCTGTCGTCAGAGTGGTCGTAAGACAAAACTCAGTGTTCCTAGACTCTACATTCAAATTGGGAGTTTTTGTAGTTACAAGTATGCAGTTTGTGTTCAAGTAGCTCATGGTTTGATCTTCCCAAAGATTTTGAATTGTATTTTTCAGTCATTGTTGTTTCCAATAAAACCTGTCTAGTTGGCATATTGTTTGTTTGTAGCACCGCAGCTACGTTATTCCATAAATCTTTGTCTAACCAATAATTCCACTTTTGATGTATATTCAAATTCAGGAAGTTTACTTTGCTCATAGCATCTCTCTAGAAAGGGTTAATGTAAAACTTGTGTTAACCAAATTGTTAATCAGTTCAGGTTTCTTCGATGCCAAATGGTAAGGCAGATTCAGTAAATTTTCCTATAAATCATGGATAGTTAGATGTAAAGGTAAAGGTTCCCTTGCTCAAAAGCCAGTCGAGTCTGACTCTAGGGTTGCGGTGCTCATCTCCATTTCAAAGCCGAAGAGCCAGCGCTGTCCGAAGACGTTTCCGTGGTCATGTGGCCGGCATGACTAAACACCAAGGCGCGCGGAACGCTGTTACCTTCCCACCGAAGTGGTACCTATTTATCTACTTGCAATTTCTTGCTTTCGAACTGCTAGGTTGGCAGGAGCTGGAACTAGAGACGGGAGCTCACTCCGTCGTGCGGCACACTCGGGTCTTGAACTGCTAAACTACCGACCTTCCACAGCCTGCAGTTCAGCGTCTTAACCACTTGAGCCAACGCAGCTCCTTAGTTAGATTTAAACTTAGGCTATTCAAATCATGATAAAAAAAGACATGCCAATTTAAATCAGGTATTTCCAAAAGAGTGTTTATGTATGGTGCTTGTTTCTAACTACTGAAACACTAATTTAATTAGGGACTGTGAAAGTCAGACAATGAAGGAAGCTGACAGGAAGAAAGTTGATTCATTTGAAATGTGGTGTAGGAGGAGACTTTACAAATACCTTGTTCTGACATACAGTGGGTTCACTTTGGTCCCATTATGAAAAGACAAGAGACACTGGAAAATCTACTGCGGAAATTTTTACATAACGTGCAGTTTTAAAAACGTCACTGCAGGGGATTTCACTACTGCAGAGATGGTCTCATACACACCTTCATTCACTCACCTTAATGTCTGAAAAGGGCTAAAATTGTGGAGATTTTTCTAAAGCCAGAGCACTGCCCCAGAGCCTCTTTCTAGATCCCGTTGTATTGCTTTCACAACGGGCTTTACTGCTAGTTGTTAATATAAAGGCTATTCTGTTTCTGCTTTGCTCTCAACCTATTTAAAGGATTTTGAGAGCAGAGAGCTGTTTGATCAACCATTGGTTGTCATGCTTTAAGCTAGATGGCTTCCATTGTTGCTTTTTATTCTCAGCATACTATGGCTACAGCCTGGTACTACACCTGGGCCCACTCCAATCAGCAGAACATCCTATGTAGGATACAGACAAAAGTGCTAGAGACTTCCCACATCTTCATAATATTTGTTCTCTTTAGGGCCTAAAGGGGGGATTTTTAAACGGCCGTTTAAACATGGAAGAGGTAGTCATGAGAAGAATCTGAAGTGGGGCACAGCTGGGACTTTGGAGCACTATGTCAGACTCCTCCTTGCATCATAATAAGCACACTTTTGAAGAAAAGGTAACTTTATTAGAGCTGAAGGTGCATAACAGGATCACTGTTCAGAATGAGGGTTAAACGCAGCATCAAAGCATGTAAACATTCAAACTACTACGGGCCAATTGCAGGGGTTCCCGCGCGCGCCTTTGGCCTGAGAACTAATGGTTCCAAGTCTCTCATGTTATCTCCTTCTCACGGTGTTCAGTGAGAACTTCCCGACACTAACAAGCCTTTGCCTCCACCTGTGGCCTTGAGCGAGATAATTGTTTCAGCGAGATACATAGACATGCGCATCTACGATTCTACATTGGAAGGGGCAAGCGCACACACACATATACAGAACGAAAACAAAACATTGGCAGCTTGCTGACACAATTACTTTGAGGAAGGGGAGTGGATCAGCTGCTAGGTCTTTTTCTAGCCAGAAATGTTCATATTCTAAAAAGAAAGTTGTGTTAGAGGGAGCATCACAAGTCAATAAGTCTGTTTAGTTTGGTTTTTTTTATAAACTTTTAAGCGGAAGATCTTACTCACTGAGCCTACCTTGGCTATACCTGCTGCAGACACCGGATCCGAGACAGAGAGAGCCTGCTCCCCAAGATGAGACCCCGTTCCTCTCTTCAATCCACTCGCAGCTCTGTCTGTCTCTGTCTGCTCCAAAACTGCCAATGGCTGATTCTCTGCACTTGCCACCTTCTGCTCAAGAGTGACACCGTCTTCACACATAGACGTCACTTCCGGGTTACGTCAGCAAATGTCTCGGACCCGGAGCTACTCCCCCCCACCCCCCGCCTCATAGCAATGACTGCCACTATATAGATGGAAACACACAACACAGTTTTCCATGTTAGAGTAGCTCAGGGGAGAGTTCCATACAGAATGCCATTTTCAGCAACAGCCTCATTCTGGACACGACTAGTACTTTCTGCTGCAGAGGCTGAATGGAAAACATGAATGACGACTGAGGGTTTCAAATTAAGCGTCTGTCAGATTACGACTGCTTCAAAAACTGTTACACGGGAGCTCTTATCACACATAGATCTCATCTCCCACAACCTCTGACGGACCATGACCTCTGACCCCCCCAGTAAGCCAAGCCTTACTATGGCCCCTGTTTCCTCAGGTTCAGGAATATGTGAAGTCACCTGATCTTGTGACTGGAGGTTACATACTTTGGGACTGCTGCTTACTCAGATGTTTTTCTCTGCTTCCAAACGGGAGCGCTTTTTCCGGAAGCATCCACATGATATCGTCCTCTCAACGTCCAGTTTCCAGGTCTTCTCCATCCTCAATATACCATTTCTCTTTACTACTTTTCTGAAATCGCGCAGTCGAAGCCCAGTCAGCACTCCATCTGGGTGGGAAGTGTGCACTTTTGAAGGCCCCGTCCACATTTGTTAGTTATTATTTACATGATCATTCATAGTCTGTCTTTCTCAAGTGGAACTCAAGGCAGATTCCACAGTCGATACAATCGACAGGGTGGGACATTCAGTGAACAATGCGATATGATTAGGGTGGCAGAATCCAGTCAGAAATCTAAACAGAACTGAAGTGAAGCGTAAGCCTTAACATGACACATTGGGTGCGTTCAGACGGGGCATTTTAGCCGGCATAAACTGCTCCGGTTGGAACCATAGAGTTTTCCCTTGTATGGCCGTGGCCCCGCCCCCAGCATGCCCAGCGTCCTCCCGTCACTTCTGGGTTCTCCCCGGGCCCGATCCGGTGGCGCCGGGGAACGGGCCTAACGGGCCTCTGGGGGGGGGGTTTCCCCCCCCCCCCCCCCCGGGGGGACTTGGGATCCCTAGCAGGAAGGTATGGGGGTCCCCAATCCATAGCTAGCTGTCTCTGGTCATGAGATACGAGGCCAAACGGTCATAAGAACAGGACTTCTGCTCCATATGCTTATCTAATTCCCTCTTGAAGCTGTCCATGCTTGTAGCCGCCGCCACCACCTCCTGTGGCAGTGAATTCCATGTGTTAATCAATGGTGGAAAAGCACACAGGGTTGGGGAGGAAAGAGCTCCATGCCAGATCAGGCCCTCGTGGTATTTTAAAATCACTTTAGAATGGTGACTGTGAACTCCTGGAAGCTGTGAGTTTGCTGTCATGAGAAGTTCGCCATTTGATTCTTGATACGTTTTATTAACGTTCTAACTGGTTTTGTCTTGTCTTTGTTTTACGGCTTTTGTACAGGGCTCTGGGCGATTCATTAATAGTTTAGCCCTATATTACACTGCACTTCTGTATAGTTCATTAGTGCTAAATTTAATAACCTACACATGTAAGGGCATATTAGACTAATACGCTAAATAATACTATTACCAATCCCATCTCGGTTTTAAAGCCAATAGGCTGTTTGACCAGAAAAATGACAGCAGTATAACAAAACAGTTATTGCTGTTCAATATTCATTAAAACAACCAACGTTTAATTGCAGCAACTACACATTTACACACATCTAATGTTATACCAAAATCCAGGCCTGCTAACAGAGTCATTAAGTGATAGTGAGAAGAATGTAATACTATTACACTGATACAAGTGGCCATTACTAGACTCAAACAGTCTTTGGAGAGCCTTCCATCAAATTTTTTAGTGTAAATACAAATTGGCAGAGCTTTAGCTACCCACAGCTGTGGAGGAGCTATCCATTTGCACCGCTGAGTCCATGTCTGGCCGGGCTTCTCTTTAACTGTGGCATATTAGTTTATGGCTAGTAGCTGTGTAATGGTGGGGATGTCTGCAGTGATGAGCAACTTCAATAGGCCATCTTCTTGTGTCAAAGATCTCTTTCACTAATCTTTTTTGAAAGGGTAATCTTTATGGTTTCGGCACCTGCAAAGAAAAAAAAAGCTTGGTTTTATTCCTTATGCATGAACTTGCTAATAAGTAGTCACCGGGGGGGGCGTGTTAAGAAAATACCATATTTGAATTTTTTGTCATTCTAGAGTTTAATAGCAGTGATGTGGGGCACAGTTCTCCGACGTGGCACCTGCGGGCACTCATGGAAGCAAAATATCAACCCTTTTAATTTTGAAGCAGGAGCGGTTAATGTGCTAAGATATACCAAATGCTTCTGCTTTAGGCTGTCAGTTATTTCTTCTTCTTTAAGATTTTTTGTATTTTCATATAAAAAGATTAATCATTAGCTTAAACAAAGTTCCCTTTATGTTATGGTTATTGGAACGGCCTGGTTTCTTATCGCTTCTCTACCAACTAGCGTCTAAAAAATTAAATCAAGTAAGTATGGCTTAAACAATTTAACTTTCAGAGTTATATTATTTCGGTTTCTTTCTTCTGAACTTCTTTTTGTCAAAATTCCATCGGGCCTTCGGGACTTTTGGGGCCGCCACCCCTTTCTCTGGTTCTCGCCCACTTCTGGATTGCTGCCCGTCGTACTTTCCATACTTTCCGATCCATATGCGCTGCTTTCTTCTTCCCAATCTTTTTCCTCTGCTGGTATTTGGTCATACCCTAGTCTTTGTTGCTGTTCCAGAAAACCCTTCGCTTTAAAATGCGCTGCTTTCTTCTTCCCGATCTTTTTCCTCT